AAGTGACCGAGCTACCGTAATCGCCGTTACCTTAATTAAAATCGAGCGTTTGCAACTCCGCAGTGCGCGGATTTTGTCGTAAAAAGGAAGTCTCCTCGTTTGCGCGTGGAAACCAGCGCGAGAAAAGGATTTCGGCAGGTTATTTTTGCACGCTGGACGACGAATTACGCGCCGGTCGAACTTTTAGTTTGTCTGTCTGGTCGCTTTTTGTAATAAATCTCGCGGCGATGTATCGTCCAGCTGACATATCGCAAACCGTACGAAGTAATCGCGCGCGCTACAATTCATTCATTCGCGCCGTGTATCTTGACGGCCGATGATAGAGAGAAATGAGCGCGATCGAGGCGAAGAAAATGGAAAAACACCGGTGACAAAGCGACCGTGTGATTTCTGAAACGTGGATACGCTCGGTTCGCCAGACAATGTTCGTCCAAGCTGAGCAACGTTGATCGTGGGAAAATTCAAATGGAAATAAATTTCTAGCAGCTTCGGTATATATGAAACACCAAGCGAATGAAAACACATCGCTTCAGTCGGTATTTTTCACGAAGTGGCTGAAACACGAATTTAGATTAATTCCACCGATTTCCATAGACAGGTGTTTTTGCATTTCATCCATTTCACGCAGTTCGTAAATTGATAGCTCTTGAGTTTTTAGTGATTTGTTGTGTATATGTGCGTTAACTGCGCTCTGATTCGTACGCTTTTAATTCGCCATGATGGAATATTGAATTTCGAATTTTCACGCAATGATTTAACTAGGCTGTGATCTACGTTTTATCTATGTTTCATGCATTTTACTCGTATCTTTCCTTTTGCCGTGAAAGTGATTTAGTGATATCTACTTTTATCTGTTCGTGCAATTTCACTTCTCATTTACCAAAATGAAGTACCGCGTTTCGAATTTTCACGCAACGATCTTTGCATAGATCTAATTTTTAATGATATTTTCCTGATATTTGCATTTCTAAATTTGCATTTTAAATGGGATTTGGTGGAGCC